GCACAGGGGTCGTTGAAGGCTCTGCATGAAATGTCTCAGATCAGAACAGCAGATAGATGGAGCCTGGGACTCTGCCCGCTCAGTCGAAGCTCCCAGTGTTGATTTCATAGGGAACAGAATTACAGCCTGGAACTGTCTCTAGTTTAAGAGATCCTCCTGTCTCTGTTCTGGTTGTTGTCCATCCAGATAAATCATCACAACGAACAGCACAACATGTGGTCACTGCTTCTGTGCTCTGGTGCACAAGTAGCAGGAGTTTCACAGTTCCTGACATACAACATCCACATCTGACCATCCATGAAAACAATGTGTGTTTATATAGTATCTTCCAACCAGACCACAATATTTTTGTTATCAATGACCTAAGACAAAAATAAAATGTAAGTGAGGTGTTCTGTAAAGCAGACATTCCCAAGTTCTAATCCCAGGTGTTACTGCCAGTGACAAATACCAGGGCTGGAGGGAGAGTTCCTGAGAGATTCTTTTTTCCAAGCTGTCACCTCTAGAGTATCTTCCTGAGGTCTCACTGCAGTGTGTGCAAACTCAACAAATGTGTCAGTGTGTTCCAGGAGCTTACAGAGGTTATAAAATCAAGCCATTCCTCCAAGACACAATGCACACTTTGCAGCTAACTTAGAGAACATGCTATGAAGGATGTGTCATTAGTCTTGGTCTTTTTCATACAAGTAACTCTTAGGGCTTTCTCCTCTTGTTAGTGAAGGGTTTAATCAGCAAACTGGCTTATTAATGAGATAAGGTGCTGATCAGTGTGGCCTGCAGTGAGCAAATTAATTGTTAACTCAATAGCAGAGTGGGAATTACAGTGAGCTTGGAAGACTTTCCTCCACTTTTAGTTTATTTGGAAGAACTCATGTGACTAGAGACACAGTAATACTCTTTGTAAAGCAACTTTCCTGCATTGCCAAAATGACCCCAGTGTGTTGCTTCTTTCTCAGTGCATTTGCAACTGACCTGCTTTTGCACCTTTGGTATTTATTGCCAGGTGACTGCATAAATAATGACTGGGGAGTGGGGTTTTCTTGTCTGGTTTTGCTTGAAAGAGCCACGATCTACCATAATCTACAGATGCTGAGGGTTTTTTTCCTGAATGCTGTTGCTTTGTGATTTTGAGATTCTCCTGCTAAAGACTGAACCGTGTTGACTAACAACTCATGCTGAAATTGAGTCCTTGAAGGATAAAACAAGAGTGTTTTGAAATTGTATTTTTGACAGACCACACTAACACAGCACTTCAGAGCAGCTGATGGCAAATAGTTTAAAGGTCTGTTTTGAACAGACCAGTTTTCATTTGGTAAATTAATCAGAAGTGATATCTGTGAGGACTAATGGAATCTGCCTTTGTTTGATCAGCTAACTCAATGGAATTACTGAGTATTTAGCCTAAAACTCACACATGGTGAAAGCAGTTGATAGGCTGGAGATGCGTGTATCTCTAAGCTGTTGGATGAGAATTGTGCCTTGTCTGTTGTGTGTGAATTAATCCAAGAAGGCATCTTGACTTTCTGAAGTGACCTTTGTGTGATAGTTCACCTTTAGTTAAACTTGACCGAGAGAGCAAGGTAGGAATTCTGCACTGGAAGTTGGGCATATGCCCTTCTCTGGTGTCAAACCTCCCCATTTGTGCAATAAAAAAAGGGAGACAAGTGCCTAGTGCTGCACTCCTGGCTTAAGCTGATAATGAACTGATACAGGGAGGGAAATAAGTCTGCTGGAATCAAGGTGTGTCCTCAGGTTGTGCCCCAGCAGCCTCCAGCCCAGCTGCTGGCCCAGAGCAGCACGTCTGTTTTATTGAGGCTGCTCAGAGTAGCTGAGAACTGCAGGGTTAAGAGCTTATGGAGGTCAGGATTCAGGTCTTGCTGCCAAGGGTTTGAATAGTTCTTAAGGGATAACTCTGTTTTGGTAACTTCTGTACAAAGTGTTTTTTTAAAGGCTTCTACTTTGCCACTTACATGAAAAAGAAATGCAGGAAAATTGTTTCAGAGCTGATAGACAAGAACCCTATAAATATCAACACTTGACTGTTACAGTATTTCTAAGAGCTTGGATGGCCAGAATTCAACTCTGAAACATAAAATCAATTGAAACACCTTTGTTTTTATTTTTCTCCAGGGATTACTGGATATTTTGAGCTGCTTAGATCCTGAGTAGTTGTTACACTTTTCTTTTAGTAGGCTGGTTTGACAGTCCCTTGTGCAGAAAGAGCTCTTGCAAAACACAGGAATAGAGATTTCCCTAAAATGGCAGCAAGTTAAATTTACTGTGATTGTCAACACTGCACTGAGGAGAAAAGTTCCTGTTTTCCAAAAGCACCAAGGTCTCAGCAGATTGTATTTAAATATTTTCAGGCTGCAGAATCTTACTTGACTTTGTTGCTGACTTACACAAACTAGTTTGCTTGGACATGTTCTTCTACATGTAACAACAGGATGTTGTGCTCATCCCAAACAGAACAAGCTGAGCAATATTCTGTACCATTTGGAGACAAGTTCTAACATCTGAGTAGTAGGGTGGGACTAAAACTGCAAAATGTGAATTAATGTGCAGTTAATATTCATAGACACGTTTCCATACTTGCACACAAATTGAGACTTTTTCTGACAGTGTTTGCTAGAATAGGCATGGACAGTTATTCCTTTAAACAAACTGTGATCAAGGAGTAAGGAAAACTCAAGAAATAATTGTGAACAGTTGGTTAAGTTCTTGTTTTTCCTGAAGGCCTGTAGTTATATACCAGTTTGTGCTGCAGGAGCACTGAGGGGACATGAAGTCACTATGTTGGGTGCTGCACAACCTCCTTCAGTTGCCTTCAGTGCAGCCTACAAAGATATTTAGGAATACATAGACAGGTTTTGCTACTCAGCTGCTTTTAGAATAATAGCCACTGACCAGTGAAACTGAAGAGGAAAGGGAGTCTTTACAGAATGAGTAATACATGGCATTTTTTTGCAGCTATATACCGTGCTCCGAGAGAATCCATGTGGCTGTAACAGAAATGGCAGCGTTGTTCCCAAAAGTAAGTGCCTTTCAGCATGCAAATGTTTTAGTCTTGTTCCTCATTGGTAGATTTCCCCTCAGTAAAAACTAAAAAGACCAAAGGTAGGGAGAAGTGGCTTAGTTGTGAATCCAAGCCTTTAATTTTACTCTTGAGCTTAAAACTCCGAGAATTGCCCGCAGTTGGTCCAAAGCTGGAGGCTGTTTGCATCTGGCTTGAGGAGTCATGTGGCTGTACAGGAATTTTGCTAGACTGCCCCTCCTCCCCTCAAGGTTCCAGTTGAATGCTGCTGCCTGGATTTCTTACTTGCAGGTATGTTTAGATCTGTTATCCATCTACCATAATGATCTCTTTCTTCACAACAAATTTCAGGGAGGGAGATCTCCATGATTAAGTTTTTGTAAAGTCTTAACCTACCTCTAAATCTGCCAGGAATGGTGCTGTTGTGTGTGCCTGACTGGCCAGTCTTGTACAGGCTGTACCCCCCTGCCAGACAGGGGAGCAGTGAACAAGCACTAGAAAGTGTGTATGTAAGTTCCTAAACCAGAAGATGAAGCAGTGCTCCCTGCCTGCTGCCTGGCAGCTCTTTGAAATGTCCCTGAGCTGAGAGAGGAGAAATTCTGGGAACTTGTTTCATCTGCCCTGAGCCCACCCCTCTGCAGGGGTTTTATAACCTCTCCTGCAGCCCAGAGGAGTCCACGCAGAAGGCAGGGCCCTAGCAGCAGATGTCCTGCATCAAAGAGCACTTGCAAACCACGAGCAGCTAATTAAAAGTGATCCTGAAAGGCTTTTTGTCCTTCCGTCAAGCTCAACTTGTGCTTTCCTTTCCCAGAAACCCAAATCTGAACTGGTCAGGACTTCTTTGCGCCTGCTGACCTCTAGTGCCTACAGACTCCAGTCCGAGTGCACAAAAGCCCTTCCCGTGGAGACCTGCCCCACCACAGACATCCAGCTGGTCACCCAGCAGGTCATCCAGTGCGCCTACGACATCGCCAAGGCTGCCAAGCAGCTGGTCACCATCACCACCAAAGAGAACAACAACTGAGTCACACTCAGCTTTTTAGTCTTGTTTTTTAAAGGTTGGATTTCAAATAAAGGTGTGGAACTATTCAAATTTTTATGAGAAAAACTAAAAGGGCAAGAAACTTTTTTTTTTTTTTTAAACTCAGTATTATTTTTGCATGTTTTCTAACAACTTTATGATTAATTTAACCCACTGCCTTATTTTGTGCCTGTGTTGCCAGTGTAGTTACAGATAATAGCATGTTGCAAATAGCTGTCGAGCCAGTATCCAGCTCTTGCTAGATGTTTCCCTGGGGCCACCTTCTGCTTTCAGATTTTGCTTGCAAACCTGCCCCTGAAGCCAGCAGCAGGGAGCAGAGGGCAGGGTCTGGCCTCTGCTCCCCCTGTCCTGGAGCCTCACGTGCTGTGATGCTGCTGGCTGGGAAACCTGCAGCAAGAGGCTCCCAGGGCTCCGGGACCAGAACTGCTCCCCAGCAGGAGGAAGGCTGTGATCCCAAGAACGGGGTACACACCCAATGTTATCTGTTCCCATATCAACTGTTGTGCAATAATATGTTTTTAGTCTGCTAAAACAGTAGTAGTTGTGGGCATCCCAGCTTATTACATGTAACTATACAAGGTCTTTGTCACTTTATCCGTTTTGGAAGGAATTTGAATCTTAATAGTTACTTCTTTTAGTTGTCACTATGCCATTAATATATATGTTTGATGTTACTTTAGGGCATTAGTGGTTAAAATATTATCCTTTGTTTCTGATTTAATAATTCATTCTTAAGTTTCCTGCAGAATTTTACTGTCACCTCCAAGGCACCATCTTGTTTGCAGCAGCTCAGAACCATCTTGTTTGCAGCTCAGAAACTCAAGATGCAATTTCACTCAAGATTTCTGTGATAATTAAACAAAAAAGGAAGTTAGAAGAGTGCCAGTGCAACTGCAGCTGTGTCTGCCATAGCACATAACCTCTGTACCTCAACATATCCAAATGTGAAATGATTTCTGATCTCTAGTAAGTTTTCTGTAAATCTTTCAAAGTTTTGTAAGTTCCATAGGGAGTAGCCCATGCCAGGCTGCCTGTCAGAAGGTGGGTGGGTGACAAATGTCTGTGTGTGTTTCAGGTTTTGTCATTCATAACAGTTCACAAAACTTCTGAAAATGTGTCCGTCCATAGTTTAAAAAATGAGAGGGTTGGGAGAGTCTAAATTCTGTGGAGGTAAAAAAAAAAAAAAATCCCTGATTTTTGCCTCTGCCTGGGTCCCATCTGGCACGTTGTCATTTTGGAGAAGCTGGCTGTGGTGTTTAATGTGTCATTAAGGGCAAGGGTTGTCACTGCAGAGCCTGTCACCAGGCACCAGCTGATGGGAACGTGGAGACAGTTTTCACAGAAACCCCTGAGTCAGGAATGATCTGCTCTTCCACAGCAGGGCTGCAGTGTGTGGGCTGCCCAAACCACAAACTCTTCAAGGCTTTCTGGTGAAAATCTGCCATATTGAGGTGAACAAAAAAAGAACTAGAGTTCAGTGGCTGGTTCCTTTTCAAATCAGAGTGTCTGTATGTATGAACACAAAGTGCCATAATGTTGGATTCTTGTAGGTTGTCATTAGATCCCTTTTTAAAGCAGTGCAAGGTTGAGGGAGTAGATGACAACCCAGTATGTTAAATTAATGTTCTTCAGTGTGTTCTTTTTTCTTTTATTTCCTTTCTGCCCTTCTGACTTCCAGCACTGTCTCCAGGCTCACAGGAACACAGGCAGGCTGGGATTAGAACTGCAAAGGACTTTTGTAAAACCTACTTGAGAATTATACTAGAATACAGAACTGGCAATTAAATACATTGATCATCATCTAGGAACTTTTCCTTCGGTTGGATCATAGCAAGGCAGCACATGGTATTTTTAAACCTCTCAGGACCCCATTGTGTGCATTTCTTTAACGTATCCTGCCTGATCCCCAGGGTAACCCTGAGTTATGTGTCAGTTACCAGTTGTTTCAAGTTGCCTCTGTACCAGAACAGACACTTTGGTAACTTCAAACCCGTGGCCTCAGTTACCTGAGCTCCAGATCCTCAAATATCAATGATTTTACTATAAAAATGTGGCCAAGCCACAACTGCTTTCCTGTTCTGTCACTTGAACAGTGTTTCTGGTCAGTTCCCCCAGCTCCCAACAAACGTTTGTTGCAGGTTGGTTGTGGTGGCTGCGATGGAAGCCGGGCAGTTTGCTGACCCAGGGTGGAACTAAAGAGCAGCACCCAGACCAGCCCTCAGATCAGACAGCACTGCAGGCAGGAGAGCTCTAGTACCTGACATAACACAGGTAGTTGTTGTTTTTTCCTTTTATGACTAGATCTCCCCTTTTTCCCCTGTAAACAAACTTGCTCTCTCCAAAGTGCTGCACAGGAAATGAACAATTTTTTTGTTGCCATTTTCCAAAACTTGTATTTATCAGTGTCATTCTGTCTGTACAATATTTCAAATTAATCTTTTGTTTACAGTATTACTATAAAATGCTAAAACCCTTTCAGTGTGAGAAGTTATTTGGGCTGACAGGATCTGAACACATGGACTGGTTTTAAGCTGCAATTGCCAACACTAACATCAAGGAGTCAAGTGCAATAATCAACTAAAATTCCCTTCCTCTTGCAGCAGTTTGTTAAGGTAAAGAAACAAATGGTTTTTCAGGTTGCAATTACTCATTATTTATGAAATAAGTTTAAAAAAAAAAACCAAAAACAAAAGCACTTAATGAAGTCTTTCAGCACCTTCTGGAGAGGAACTGGACACATTAAGGATTGCTGCTACAGCACATGGTATCTCTCCTACTGGTTTGCAGTGAGTTATGAACTAACTCCTAAAAGCTAGTTGGCCTCTGGGCAGGTCCTGCTTCTCCAAGGTAGGAGCAGGACACCTCAGCAGCAAACACAGCACGTTGTGGTTACAGTTCCTGCTCCATGGGGAGGCACAGAGTCTCAGGGTATGGATCCAAAGGGTCTGGTTATTTGCTGTTTTACCCCAGTGCAGCATGTACTAAAATACATAATCTGATGTATTTTATAGCTCTGAACTGGGAGCACTGAAGCAGTTCAGTCCTCCAGGGGTGCTCACCCCCTCTGCCTTCAAAGGCAGTAGAAATTGGTTCTTGTGTTCAGCTGGGCCACAGCTCAGTGTTTTGAGCTGTACTGAGTCTCAGTGTCATTGTAGGCCATTCCAAAGCCACCTCTATTCCAGGAGTTCCTTGATTCTTCCAAGTTTTCTTTCTGTAGTCTGCAGCTGCATGTAGTGCTTGTTCCTCAGGTGTGAAGGACAGAAACATTCAGGTCCAGGCTGCTCTGGGGTAACTGTAGAACTAATGGTCAAAACAAACAGTAACTATGGGCTCTAGAATCACCTTCCACAAACACACTGCTCAGTGTGCTGGGAAGGAGCTTCTGAAAGCACAGAATATCCTCCAAGAAAAGGCATCAGTAACATTTAAAAGTTGATGCTTTAAGCAGCACCCTCTTCTCTGACTTCAGTAGCTACTGTCCAGTAAATGCCAGAGAAGTGACTCAGACAGTAGCTCACAGTTCCAATGAAGACTGTCTGCTGGGCAGGTGGTTTAGGCTGGCTTACTCAAATTTGGGTAGTTTTTAGAGCTAGGCAAAGCAGGACAGAAGATGAAAAGGCACTGAGCAGCTCAGATGCACAGTACCCACTGCCCTAGGCAGCTGCTAATGCTGGAAATTACTAGAAAAAAGTTCTAGCAGCAGCAACAAAACTAAAGCGTGGGACCTAAAGCGTGGGTATCAGCAACAGCCAAGCAGTTTGTAAGAACTATAGAGCTCGGTTAGAAACAGCCCCGGTGTGTCCGGGCTGCCCTACC